GGGATTTATAATTTGCTTAGCTTTTAATTTGTGTCATTATGCGATCATGTTTGACCTACTTTTGCATGCCCATTATATTTAAAACTAAAATAATCAAACCAACTTATCGGATCTCGTACTATGCTACCCCCAAGGTTTTTATCTTTTTGGCTCAGTGTTCAAAAAATGCTCACTATCTTCATAATAGTTTAAAAAAATGTTTGCAAAATCCCCCCACCTTCTTCCTTTTTCTTTGTTTTTCGATTCATGCATAACTTTGTTTCTTTTAAAAGGCATGAAAAGTTTTTAAATGTTTGAAATTTCAAGCTCCTTTTAAATTTTTAAGAATATTCATAATTGCATATTAAGTATGTATTTTGGCTCCTAAGTCTAATGAATGGGGCATTATCATCATCGTTAGTCTTGTCTTAATCATATGGGACTGGCCAATTGAAGCATTTACAAGAATATAAATGTTTAACCTTCAGATACTCTCGGTTTGAGTCTGCTGATTTTGAGACATGCAGTGCATGCTGAAAATGCTATTGTTTCTTTTTAAGTTAGTTTATATTTAATAACAGCCCATACAACTTGAGCATTATTTCAGTTGAAAATCTAGTTATTAATCCAAGCAAGCAATAGCCAAGAAAAAAAAAACAAACTTCATGAACATTAAAAGAAACAAGCTTAAATGGAATGATCATTGGCAATTACTAGCTCAACCTAAGAAGCATGGCTGCTTGAAAACTTAAAGCACAAAAATTGATTCAACTCACACATTATTGGATCATTGAGAGCACTACTTAAATCACAAATTAAAGAACGATGTCAACAGATAAGAACCAAAATAACCGCATGCTATTTGTGAGGGTGATTTTAGTCCCATACTATATAAAAGCTCAATTTAGTCCTCAGACACTTTAAACAAAGACTCTATCAATCTTTTCATCTAAACTGACAAAAAATGAGTTAATTATGTAAAAATTAGAGAACTTTAGGAAAAATGTATTTTCTGCTTGAATTTTTAGTAAATCTAATTTCTTCTTTATATTAATTATTCGTATGCAAAAACTACAGTACAGAAGCTTTGAATTGAGATCATAAAAATTATGATACAAGTTAATTTTTCATAATAAATAATTTGACTTGAAATTTTTATTATATTGAATCCATTGTATCAAAAAATTAAACTCAAATGTATTTTGTTAAAAAAATAATCAAAATAACAAATATGTCAAATAAGGTTATTTATTAAAAAATAAAATCGCTCTATAGCTTGCATGATCTCAATCACTCCTGTTGTATGCAAAATTTTCTGTCATATATGAAGAAATAAGGTAAGTGAAAAATTAAATTCACTATATAATTCAAGAAAAAAATTTAAGATACCTTTAATATTAATGTAAATAACTTCAATCTCATTAGTTTAAATGAGAAAAATATTTTTGCTTCTATCTAGAGAGTATGAGGATTAAATCGGGCCTTTTACATAATTTGAGACTAAAACAACACCTCAAAAAATAATCAAGAGACCATTTTGATCATTTTCTAATAATGCAAGTATACCCTAATTTGTAAGATCATTTCAATTTTCATTCAATCCAAGTATACAATTTGAAAATCACATTTTTTATCCATGCATCAAACCACCTACCAAATCTTATCACGTGAAGATAAATATTAAATCCCATTTCAAACCTTTCAAAAAGATTGCTTGAATGAAAATTAAGTGAGAGATGCCCTTTTGTACATAGTGGATTTAAGTTATCGTATCTACATTATCAAGAAACAAGTTTTAAACACTAAGTAGTTTCCAAATGATCTAATTCACATGATCTTCCAACTGCACCAACTAGTCCTAGAAGAAATGCAAAGAATATCACAAAAACATAAAATGAAATATTGTGCAAAAAAGGGCCAGAATTGGATAGCAAAAATTACCTTGCATTGTAATCAAAAGGCAAATAACAGCTAGTCATTACTTGCATCACAAATAAGATGATCAAAGAAAGAAAGACGGGCTCACAAGAATGAATAACCAATAAAGAAGAGTTAGATATGAAAAATGACACCAGTCATAAATAAACCTTAGCATTGGAGTTGCAACATTACAATCATTGTTAAAGGTTAGAAACCATATTAACTTCCAGGGCACCCTTACCAAAACATCAGAATTATTTTCAAACTTAACAGTAAAAATTCTAGCCTTTGAGAAAAAAAACTATGATTTGAGGTGTGATGAGATTCCTTTCAAAAGACAACTCAATTTAAGCAGACATATAAAAACCAGTAAATGTCTTAAAAATATATCATCAATGTTATAAACAAAATTGTCTAGTATCCATTCTTCACTCGAAACTCAGATCCATGTAAGTGTTAATATTCATATAACTATCAATTAGGTAAAACAGAAACCTTGAGTGACACAAACAGCCAGCCCATAAAAAAAAAAGCACATATGGCTTTAATTAAAAGCAAACTCGCCATAAAAAAGAGAAATTTACAAACTTGGCAAAAAATTCTTATGTATTTACATATCTCACACCTAAACTTTCATATTTAGTTATTTACATACATAGCACTTAGATGCTTTAAACTCATTCATGAAAAGGTGTATTGCACTTTTAAAAAGTGATAGTAGTGCTATTTTTTATATGATATTAAGAATTTAAGTGGTACGTTCATAAATATAAAATTTTAGGTGTGAGACATGTAAATACATAAAAATGGTGCAATGTGTGTGAATGACCACAAAAAAAAATGTTTCCCTTTTTGCACAATAAAGATTGACTGAAAAAAGAACATTTGTACTTTCTTGTTACCATCATCCTCAGCTATTTGGAGTTAGCTTTATATATCTTTATTTTCTTTCAATTATATGTAAAGTTGCACCAACTGTTCTAGTTTAGCTAACTTCTTTTAAGCAATGTGACATTCTTAAGATTGACCTCCCCAAGATGTTCCTAACATTAATCACACTTTATCTTCACTAATTTATCCTTCGATGCTTCCATCCAAATTAATGTAATGAATATATTTTGCACTAAACGCTTCTTAATTATAGAATCAATACATTAAATATTCAACTTGATTGTTGAGGTCTTCATTCTTTCCAATTACATGGATACATATAACTTAGCAGTTACAATTGCCCATTTATCAAAGTTGACCTTCAATTATTCCCTTTCCATTTTCATCATCCACATCTCGTAGCATTTAATCATCATTTGGCTCACAAAATAGATCAAATTGGTGGTTATACTCATTTCAATTTGACATAGTAGATGAAACATATCAGAAAAAATATATCCATTGATCAAGATCATTCTCGTATTAACTTAAATCAAAAAATGAAACATTTGGTCTTTATCAAATCATATTTTTAAGCCCCTCATCATGTCGACCTTTTCCATGGTTTTCTTGATTATTTACGCCCAATCTAGTTGGTTAATTATTTAGTCCACCACTAGCCCAAAATCATCACTAGTAGAAAGTAGAAACCCTCTTCAACAATTTTTAGCTATATGCATGGCAAAATAAGTTGTAACAAAGACAAGATAAATGTCACAAGTATCTATTACTTATTTATGTCAAACACTTAGATAAAACTTGAGAAATCCATAAGGACTGACAGGTTGCTATACTGTTCATTATGTAAAAAAGCACACAATTCTTATATATTTTCATATTTCAAACCTAAATTTTTATATTTATACAGATAGCACTATGGTGCTTAAAATGTATGCATGAAATGGTGTGTTTAACTTTAAAAAGAGGTAACAACGCTATTTTTTATGTGATATTAAAGATTTGAGAGCTATGTGTGTAAATATTAAAAATAGACGCGAGATGCATAAATACATAAGAATTGGATGGCATGTATGTAAATGCCCTACTTATTATAATCACCGTGCATTGATTTATTGATTCAACCCGTTCATATGCACAAGGTGTGAGCTACAATCATGTGATGTATATGATTCAATCGTTCTACTTATATTACTGCAAGGCATCTAAGGTCCATTTCTCACCTGTAAAGCTGTAACTTATAGTTAAGAAAGGAATGCAAGGCACCAAATATATAGATATATATATTGCTACCTTATTAGAACTCGCAGTCAATTTATATCAATAATGGAAGTCTTTAGGTATTCTTGCAGATATGAAGACCTGAAGGCTTTCTCTCCAAAAGAAAGTGAAAATATCACCACCATAAAAGGCTCAACGTCACCAAAAAGGAACCAATTATTGGATTGGCTTTCCAAATATCCAAATATATAGATTTATATTTTTTTATCAAACCACTAGTCCTGTTGACATATTGTAAAATCATCCATGAAACTTATTAAGTAATACCTCACATGCATCTACTTCATACAAATAGACAGAAAAAGCTTTAACACTTCTGCAATAAATTGTGATATAGAATAACTATAATCCAACAAGAACCACATAATTGTGACCTACAGGTCTTTGAGATATACTGCTTTGATGGGAATTAGAACCATACGATTATTCCAAGCCGTCCTGCTACATACCCATGAGAAAACCCTGATTCAAAGCTAAAATCAGGCTTCCTAGCTTCACAAACAACAAGATTTCTTAAAGGCAATCATGGCAAAAAAACAAAAAAAAAATCTCAAACATATGATTTAGATAAGCTTATCAGACAAAGGAGTATGTTCGATAACTTCTAAATTAATAAAATATAAGACATGACCCAGGTCTGAACAGCTCTTCTTCGTAGCTCTGATTTATCAGAAAACCCCATCATTTTATAACTCCGACAGAGAATAAAAACACCAAAATCACCATCAAGCATTAAAACCACCAAAAAAACGCATTATCCCTATAAGCAAACATAAAAGATAACTGCACAAAACATTATCTTATCCTGTTGCAGAGTAAAGCCACACTAGTTAAATCACCATCGATCAACTTTCAGATGACTCGCATGAAGCATAAATCACAAATTTCTGAATCCCAAGTAAAAAAGAGACGATCGTACAGATCAAACGCACCTAAAAGCTGCCGCAGATCTGGAAATCAGAAAGATCCGATGAACAGCTGTATTCCTGAGCTCTTCCTACTCTGCCCTCCGTTGCCAAGAGAAAAGGACGAAAACAAAGAAGAAGAGCTCGGAAGCCAGCAACGGAGGGAGGAGGAAGGATAAACGAAAGGGGGGCGAGTATAGCAACTGGAATACAGAGAATAATGGGACTAAATATGCTCTCTGAGGCCTTTTTCGGCTATTTTCTTAACTACGCGGCTATTTCTTAACTCTAGACCAAATTATTATTTGTGGAAGGATACAAAAGGGGCTTTTTTTCTTAAATTGTATTTATTTCTTGAACAATTTCATTGACTAATCATATAAAAAAAAATTATCTACCTAAATTTTGTACATTATATTATATATGCCTCTTGACATGTGTAATTGGTCAAATTGTTTATTTGGGAAAATATTTTTAGAATATAGTTTTGAACTAGACTTCCCAATAAGATTAAAGTTTGAGGTATAACTAAAGACTAAAGACTTGTGCAAATTTGTGAACAAAAGGAGTTACTTTAACATTCTTTATTCCAAACACGTTGTTTGTCTTTGGTAATCACAAAACTTATATTATCAATCTATAGTAAAGCTTCACTATGACAGTTTCAAAGTTGCAGTCATATTTCAATTAAGATTAACTATGTGCACTTTTAGTCATTGTTATGATAGAAATGAGGCTGGGAAACTACTTTGGATTCAAATGATGTAAATGATTTTAGCTTATAATAGGGTTTTGAGAGGTACATTGAACACCAATCATCAATTACATCATATTATCAGTCACAACATATATCGAACTATGTTTGAATCTCCTTCAAAGAACATTCAAAATTAGATATAATGAAAAATCATTCATCTGAATCATGTTGAGAATATTTTCAAATATTGTTCTAATCATGACTTGAACAATTGTAATTTTAATGACTATAAGATATGAACATAATTTGAACAAGATTTGAATATGTTACAAGTATGATTGATTTTGGCCCTTATATTTTTGTTTATTCTCTTATATGGATTGATTTGTTTGATATGTTATATATGAAGAGCATTCTTTATTTGGGATACATATAAAGTTATAGTTGTAATGGAAATAATTATTAGACAATTTGAGGCATTTGATCATATTGGAAAGATTGAAAAATTGTAATTCGGACTGCCTTTTAGCTTTAACACCCTTAAGCAACATTTCTCTAAAGCCCTAATTCATTAACATTTCTTGAGGATGTTCTAGAATGAAGAGAATGTATGATACTTCCTTGTATTCAACATTATTGAGAAGAACATATGATTTGGAGTTATTAAATTTGTGATGTTTATTATATTGAGATTTTGAGAATTTCATTTAGAGACGAGGTCACAGAAATAAGTAGCAGTACTAGTCTCATTGACAATAATCTCGAAGAATAATAATCCAACTTAAAACATATTGATTAGATATGACACACCATTATAGTATTGACCATATGAGGTCATCCTACAATTGGAAGATACTATACTGAGTATTTTGGAGAGGGAGTACCGAAAAATGGTTGAGTTGGAAAAGCGATTAAGTACTCATGATTACATTTACCTTAAGTATTAGGCTATGTTAATATTTATTATTTATTAACTTTTAAGGTTACTTAAAAATTATTTGGTGGATAACTATTAACACAATATGACTGCTCAAAGTTGATAAAGAGGACCTATATATGCTCATTATGTATATTTATTGTGTGACTTTCATAGTTAGGCGTGAAAAAGAATATGTACATCACACATTTAGGTGAGTATATGGCTAAGCTGAAAAGATAGAAGAAAAGAGAAGAGGGCGCTAAACTTCAACCACCACTATTTTAGAGTTCACACATCTTTTTGTTGTTATTCTCAATCAACTCATAAGAATATTTATATGAGACTGAGATAAAAATTAGATGCTCTCAATAATTTTGTTCAGTCATGTACATAAGGTGCTAAAGGAGAATAAGAAGGAAATCAAGCAAGTTCTTCCTACTAACTTACCCGCTCATTTTGACATTGAGAATGAAATGAGGAATAAGTCTTTGCAACTTATATTGTCATTTATGTAGAGACAGAAAGTGATGTGCTGCAAAAAGTAATAAATATTAGTCTGTTTGTTGTTATGGTATATATGAATATTATTGTATCATAGATAGAAGATGTTAGCTCAACTCTTGTTTGTTCTTACAAATAATGTGATATATAAAAGTTGGTAGCACACATTATCCTATTTCTTAGAGTTGGTGTACAACTTTAAAATTATATAAAAAAAAAACATGATGAAGATTTCATAAATATATTAAAGAAGAGACAATCTAACAGATCCATGTACTATTTTCCCTCTAATCAATTGATGAAGAGTTGATGACTTACTTTAAGACTTGCTTAACAAGATTGGAGTAATGTTTTAAAAAAAAAAGTAGAAAGATAGAAGCTGATAGTGGAATTGTGGTGTAATTTTTATAATTAAGTACATATATCCAAAGACTACATGATAACATAACTATTTAATTTAGCAATTAATTTAAGAATTTTGTGAAAATATAAATGCATTGTGCTGTTTATTAAATTTTTTATCTTATTATAGCATATCAATGTTTTATGTTCCACTATAAATTAACAATAAAAATATTTTCAAAAGGTCCATGAATGAAACAAGTTACTCTTAAATAGGATATTTAACAATTTTATAGAACAACCATCACTATCTGTAATAAACTAATGAGAATGTACTCTATCATGTAAGTTAACATTAAGCTTATGTATATCATTGAAGTTGAAGAAAATTTTTTAACATCTTTGGTTAATTAGTATCACATATATTGTATAATAACTTGAAAAAACTATTATTAAATAATATGTTAGATCTTCGTTTGGACTAGTTAACCTTACAGGATAAAGCCTCTTAGACAAGTTAAGATTTAGTCCTTCCTAGATTATAATGAAAATATATATAGGTAATTTTATTCTTTCAATTTTTTGTTCTATCATGGTAAGTTTTGAGTTTTTTCTTTCTAAGGTTATCGGTGGTTCTGGCCCAATTATGTAATTGGCCAGTGGACAGTCTGATTTATAAAATATACAATAAAATGACAAAACAAATACGCTTACTATGAAACTGATATGTTTGTAGCTAAATGAATATCCACCTTACTTATATGCATGGCAAATTATAAATTTTAAGTGTTACCTTCTGAATGTCCACCTGTTGTAACCTGAGCAAGAGCTACGAACTGTCCTTCTTTAATTGTCTTGCTGGTAATTTCTAATCACTATCAAACTTTATACACACAGATTGTCGATAGTTGCCTATGAAATCCTTCAGGAATGATAATTCTGAGTCGACCCCTCGACTTGAAATTCTTACACTCAGCCTCGATCTTCTATAGGGTTTATTTAACTCAATTCATCTGCTTGCATTTCCTTGAATATTATATCATGTTTACAATTTTAATCTTTCAACAACAGTGTCAGAGGTGGCAGGTACACACTGTCATTTTTGTCTTTTTACTACATTTTTTTTCTTTTTTTTTACCATACTTTACAACATTTTTTGCTTATGCATAATTTAATATACCTGTAAACCCCCCTAAGGTAGAAAACAGTAGGACACACGTTTAAGGGTTGCACTTCAGCAAGCTTTGAGACCCAACCATAATTACAAGTTCAATCATAAACCTTAAACCCATAACCATCACAAGTAAGAAGCTTGAAGCTAGTTGCCTGGGAAGTAGGACGAGGTTGCAGGTGGGCAGAGGACAAATTCAGACGACAAAACACGAAATAATTGAACTTTCCTTATTCTTAAATACATAACTACATAAAATCTTCACTTTATCGCTTAAGCTTCTGCATAAACATGTTATGCAACATAAGTCCTAACTCTTTTGTAAGGTTATGAAGTTGTTCATGCGGTACGACGCAAACATTTCTATCTTTCTAAGCTATTTGCATGAGTGTATATTGTGCAAATGTAAGCCCTAATTTTAAATAATTGGAGGGATTAAACATCACATAACATCAATTCAAAAATATAAAGCCAACTAATAGGATAGTTTCAGAAGTTATCGGGATTCTCATAAGAATTTGTGATGTCCACTACTTTTTGCTCCTTTGATTCTTAAAATAATTGTTCCACATTGAGCCTTCCCATTTGAATTTCCTATAAAAGATCATGAAAACTATACATTGAATTTTTGAAAATGAAACCTCTAATCTCAATCGAGAGTTTTCTCAGGCGACTCCGGTTGTCTAAGATGTAATTAACTATAGGGGTTTCCCTCTATTGGAAATTAGAACCCCATATAATCTAATTTTGTCTAGTATTTACATTAAATAGGAGAATTGTCGATCACAAATTTCACAAATTAAACAAATGTCATGAATTTTTTAATTTGAATGCTTGAGCCTACTAATTAATGATATGCTCATCTCGCGGAGGGGTATATTACTTGTGGTATTATGATCAACTATCTAAACTATTAAATGTATAAGCTCTATTTGATCTCACATTTTAAAAATTAAAATACTATTTTAAAAATAAAAATTATATATACATTATTAAATTAAATTAAAAACATATCTTCATGAACAATCAACCGATAGTGCCAAGTGATGCAACATGGAATTCCTATGGTATGTAAATGATGTCATAGGAAAAGAGATGGTGCACATGCAAGACACAAAATGAGAGTGAGGTGGTGAGTTTTCTAGCTAGACAAAAACACACGCTAGGTATGATCGATGAGCAAGCCATCCTCGAAGAGGACACATGAGTGCCCGGAGTGAGTGTGCAAGAGCAGTGCTCAAGGAAGACACAAGAGTATCAAAAGTGAGTGTGTGAGGAGCATTGACTCGAGGAAGACACAAGAGTGTCAAAAGTGAGTGTGCAGGGAGCAGTGACCTGAGAAAGATACGTGAGTGTTGAGGTTGAGTGTGCGAGAAGCAGTGACTCAAGACTGTGCCTTTGGCAATTCAGAGTGGTGACTTAGAAAGTGAAAGATAATATAATTCTCATGGGAGAGAAATGTGCACTTGATGGGCTTAATTGTAAGCTATCATTTCACATGATGTGTGAATATGTGAGGTATGTGTGCGAAGACACAAGTCCAAATGTAAAAGAGTTCAAGCATGCAAGTTATGGGCACACAAGTTTCCATGCAAGCAAGCATGCAAAAGTGAAAATGCAAG